TAGGTTATTACTAGTAAGCCTATATTAGTAGTTCTAACAGTTACAGACAAGTTCTGAGTCAAAGCTAACTCTTCTGACTTTACAAATAGAGCAGTACTGTCCCAGTTCATTGACAGAAAGTAGTGTCTGATAGTGTTCTAATCAGAATCCCTCTCTACAACAGAACAGAACTACCCTATCTATAACAAGGAACTCTCTACAATTGTCTGTTCCCTAGAGGAGTAGTGTTAATATCTCCTTAGTACTGTACAGAAGTTTGAGATTTAGAGTGATCACCTTAATCTCTAATACTTCTAGGTGCCTTAGAAGCTCAACTACTGTCAAGCCTACTAGATGTTAGAACTATAAGACTATAACTTTGTACTAACCTACAAACCTAGAACACAAATGACAAAAGCTGATTTACTCTTAAGACAAGTAGGTTATGAAAGGGGGGAGAATAATAATGAAAACCTTGTTCTCCTAGACAATTCCCATTTTGTGTCTAAGACAATCCAAGAAATCTGACTCAAATCTGAGAATGTTAACTTTGTCACCTATATACAGTAAGCTCTAAAACACACACAGGACTGAGTCATAGTAAAGTAGTTAGAGAAGCAGGCTAGGAATTAGGAGGAGGATAAGGATAGACAGGTTTACTAGGAAGGCCAACTGTATGTTCTAAAGAATCAGAAGCTGTAGGAGGACATTGTCTGAGCTTATCACAACAATCTGACTGTAGAACATCTGGGCCAACACAAAACACAGGAACTCATTACTTAGAACTACTAGTAGTCAGGAATGTAGAGGGAAATACTAAAGTACATAACTAGTTACAATATGTGCTAACAGACTAAAGCCTACTAGACAAGAGTTTAGACTCTCCTACATCTGTATTAGATCCTAGATCACTCTTAGGAAGAAGTCTTAGTAGACCTGATTAGTAAGCTACCTAAGTCTCAGAGTTATAACACTATCTGTATAATTGTTAACTAATTCTCTAAGTAAGTCCATATAGTTCTGACTCAAACAGAACTCACTTTTAAAAGTATAGTGTACATTTATTAGGATCATGTCTTCTAGTTGTACAGACTCTCTCAGAAGCTCATTCACAATCACAGACCACAATTTGAGTTGAAATTCATACAGGACTTGTATACACTTCTCAGAATTCAAGGGAACCCTTCTACTATATATTACCTACAGACTGACAGTCAAACTGAGCAAGTCAATTAGGAGATCAAGCTCTACCTCTAGATGTTCATCAATCATTAGTAATCAGATTGGTCTGAATAGTTAGCTCTAGCAGAATTTGTACACAATAACTAGTAACACTCTATAATGAGACAGTCTCTATTCTTCCTCAATCATAGGAGACATCTGTATTAGAGGACAGTTCCAAACTGGAACAGTAGTTCTGAATCTGTAACAGACTTTGTAGAACAGATACATAGAACCAGAGAGGACACACAAGCTCTTTTAGAGAAGGTAGTATAGGTTATAAAGTAGAACTATAATTGGAAGAGGTTTATAACTAAGAATTACTAGTCTAGTAACAAGGTTATACTAGAAGCTACTAATCTGACCTTAGATCACCTAATGAAGAAGTTGGACAACAAGCACTTCAGACCCTTCATTATTGAAAAGAAGGTCAGTACCTCTGTCTACAAACTCTAACTTCCAACAACATAGAAGTGTATACACTCAGTGTTTAATAAGGTTCTGTTGTCTCAGTATTATAATCCTAGTTTTCCTTTGTAACAAAGACCCCCTCTGCCTCTACTAGAACTTATTAGCTCTAAACTGGAATACAAAGTAGAGTACATAGTAGATACTAAGCTACTATACAGAAAACTCAAATTCCTTGTTCACTAGAAAGGGTACCCAGTTGAGGAGCACACTTAGGAACCTACTAAGAACCTTACTCATACTTCTAAGACAATCCAAGATTTCTATCAGCTTTATCCTAGTACTCTACACAAACTCAGCCTTACAGATTTCCAAGCCCTACTGTTCTGGCCTATGTTTGAGCTGCTAACCAAGTCTAATGTTCACCAATCAGGATGATTGGTTTTAGAGGAGGGGTAATGTTACAATTCTCTACTCTTGTACTTTTAGTTCTAAGGGTTCTACACTCTTCTGTACTGGAACTCAGGACTTCTGTCCCTCAGGAGTACTGTCTATAGACTATATATATACTGACTCTTACTACTACCCTTCCTTACTTTATCATTCCACTCCTTTGACCACCCCTTCATTCTTTGTTCATTCTATAGTCTCTTACCCTTTGTCCATCCCTTCATTCTTTGTACCTTTATCTTTGACCTTCCTTTCTTTCATTCTTCATGGCTTATTATTCTTAATAGCTTATGCTCCCTGAGTACTCTTGTGTAGTTTAGTATATATAGACATACAAGATCAGACTGGTCCTGTAGTCTTGATCTTGTCTACTCTAGGTAGTCCTGTACTCTTAGGCTCACTCTATATACTCTACTCTTGTCTCACTCTCTCTCTCTGCCTGTTCTACAAGTTTCAACTATGTTCCAGTGCTTGCATTCTGTATTTCTGTTGTGTAGGATAGTTGTAGCCTGGGTCCCCTTACTGAGTCTTCAGGTCCCCTCTACACTGTTGCTGACATAGAGGTTGTAACTAGACCAGATTCAAGTAAGGAACAAGTACATTATGAGTGTTAATTGCTAGGTCTACACTTTAACCAGATCCAGATGAACTATTAGAAAGTAAGAGTATTAAAGGGCTTAGTAGTAATGACAGTGTCTGTAGTTGACCCTATTCTTTGTGTACAAGTTAAAGTTATTTTAGTGTTATTCTGTAAAGGTTATACAAGACATTATAGTGACTAAGAGAACTAGCTGCCTTTTACAGGGACTGTATATAATATAATATATGATAAACTTGTACTTACTTTGAGTACTAGTTTACTACTCATATTAGCTAACTAATATTTCTGAATCTACAGTATTCTAGCCTTTAACAAGTAGTAATACCTGAATGATTCAACAAAGAATACTATAAGAGGAACTTATTAGTACACTGTGATAGAACAATATTAATAATCTCATTATTTGTATAAAGGTTTGTTTCCACAATTCTACAACTGTTAAAACTGTATCTGTATTGAGTAACACATTTTATTAATCCAATTTTTTAGTGTCACAATGTTCACAACTTCCCTTCTGGTCTAGTTATTGATTTCTTAGTAGGAATGCTGAGTTACAGATTGCCCATACTTCCAAAGTCTGTGTCTACTGTTTATCCACCTTTAGTATGATTGATTTGTAATCCTGTCTTTATTATGAGTCAACTTACAAAATCAATATTTGTACTGAGCCAGACATTACACTGATTCTGATTTAGTACTAAGGCCAGGTAATGCTCCATACTGTGCCTGATGATACCTGACTGATTCAATACAGAAAAAACAAGAGGCACGTTTCCTGCTACATAGTTATATAGCTGGATTGTCTAGATTCCTATGAAATTCTATCAGATAGATATTCACTTCTTATTAGTACATCAACCCATGTTGGCCACACTACTCAATATCAACAACAAAGTGGAGTACTAATATTTGCTAGATCTAATATACAGTAATACGTTTGTTAGGTTACCTCAGCCAAAACTCGGGCCGAAGTCGCAGAATAAGTTCAGAATGGGACGAGCACGGATCAATGTTAGTTTCACATCTTTCCACTACCATGCCTTGACTGGATGCAGTGGAACCGGCACCGAACAAGTATATAATCATGCGAGACTGTATGGCTGATCTCAAGCGAGCAGCACACTACAAGACTTGCATAGTAATTTCATCTCTCGAAAGAAGAACGAGAAGAGAATAAAATAAGAACAAGGTATGGTTTTTAGCACTGGTTATATTTTTTGACCTATGGCAAGTTTGTTAGACACTTGGTATAAATTCTCTTAAAAGTGCTAACACTCACAAACGTGTGCATGAAGGTTCAGTCAGGCACAGGGGCTAGGCGCCTGCGTTGCTAGCACGCCGACTTGCATATTAGATGAGGTGAAAAAAATGTAGATCTGAACACTGCTATTGGCAATAGGGAGGCGAACTGAACAAAAGATGCGTATGCAAACCTTTTCTAGGAAACGCCGAACTTAAGTCCTTTGACAGCACCATATGAAATATTTGATCAGTCGGACCTAATCTATTCCTGGCACACAAAGTGATTGGACTATCAATGGCCCCATCTCATGCTTAATCACAGCCTTGAGCGTGGTTCCTTGTCCTGGGCGTCTTCTGTCAAACTACAGATCAACTACAGGATCATATTGATTATGATGTCTGAACATGATTGGATTACGGAATATTGTGCACAGGAATGCTTTATTTGTTGTTATCAAGGTGAATAGTTTTCCTTCTCAACTCATTGAATCGGATCGAAACGATCTCACGTTTGTACTATCAAGGAACTTTGCTCACTCATCAGTATAATTCATCTCCTCTGTCCTTTCTTGGTTATGAAACACCATGGATTCTAGTATATCTCTGATCGGTCTGGAACAGTAATACATCACGAAAAAGTCTTAACAGTTGTATTAGATTATAACCTAGTATATTTTTTACTTTTTGTAAATTTTGTAAAAGTGATAATAACTTAGATAGTGGTTTTCACAAGTCAATTATAATTTAGTACAAGTAAAGCAAGAATTCAGAATAGTTATTAAAATTACTGATATTAATTATAATTGTACATATTGTCAAGATATACAAGTGATTATAACATACCTCCTGAAATAATAATGTTAGAATATACTTATTAAATTTTAACAGTATAGTATCCTCTTACAATTTATACCAGTCATTACAAGCATTTGAATAGCTTGTTTTGGCTTTGCTTACAATTTGTATTAAATAATTAATAAAATATAATTATATTTGATTATAGAATACAAAAAGATAGTAAATAATACATTATTTCTACAATCCCAATCCCTGCACCACCAGCAGCCTCTGTCTCGTTCTTTCGCGAGTGGAGTTTGTGTCAATAAAGGATTAATGTGTTCTTAGGCTGTTCGATGTAGTCTTCGTCACCAGGCCTTGATCGTTGCTCAGTCCCTGCAAGTAGAATCGCGTACACGTGTGAGTTGTAAGGTCGAGCAGATTGTGAAGGGTGAGGCTGTGTCTGTGAGACAGGTTTAGGGTGATTAGCGAGTGGCAACAAGCAAGAAAAGATGGACGCACCGTGGCGGCGTGCAGCGAGTGTGAGTGGTGCATGCAGATCGAGATGCGGAGCGTTGGACGAGCTGATTCGGACTGCAGACGAAATCGTGTCTGTGCG